ATACTACAATTTAATATTGAAAATTATTTGATTTTTAATTATTAATCTCATTAAAATACAGTTATGCTACTTAGCCATAAAAATGATATAGGCAAGAAAATCTTTGTCTGCGGTTTCCATAATCAATCAAATAATTTTCAATATTAAATTGTAAATTTTATAATTAACCATTAGAATAGTGAAACAACATTTCTTCATCATAACTATTACGAATTGAAATCTTTTAATATCGACGTTCGCTACTTTTCGATAAGAGATAATAATAATATATACTTACAGTAACAAGAAAATCTTTGTCTGCGGCTTCCATGTTAAAGTCCGTTGTATTTAAATATACAGTATCAATACCAACAGTCCTTTCGATATCACCTTTCTGCAGAATATAATACAATATAACAATAACAGCATTTCGGACACAAAATTTATGAAGATTAATGGGTCATTAAAAAAAAAAAACTTAATGTGAATTTGTTAGAATGCTTATGTCTGTCCGTATTTTAACAATGATTTTGATAGACAGTCAACTTGCTAACTAATGCGCATTTGAACAAGCCAATGTCGTAATAATGGCTCAACTTACATTATATCCTCAATTAGGAGTTCTTTGTTTATTATTTATTTAGAATATGTATTTATTACGGTATATATTCATCACAGTGAGCTCAATCAAATTAAACTGTTCATTAGAGCAATTACACCAACCAGTGGTTGATTATCAAACTTAAATAAGTGATAAAAACCAAAAAGAAATGATATTATGGGATAAACAGGTAACACGCACGTACTTCAACAAAAACACGTTTTACGTTGACTAATAAGGATTCCTGTAGCGTTCCCAAGAACTCCGAAAAGCTGTTCACATTCCGCCGATCATACCCGAGGAAGTGCGATTGTATACCGATTCCTCTTCTCTCGATAAACGCCATCAATTCTTGAAAGTTAATCTACACACAATTATATTACATATTATTAGAAAAAATAATGATAATAATATTATTTTCTTTTTTATTTTTGTCGTACTTGCCAAATAGAAGTAAAATTAAAACGTATAGGCCTATTATGATTTCTAAATTTACCGTATCTTACCTTCCCATCGTGATTTGTATCTAAACTATTGAAAACGTCATTTACATTGTAGTTTTTACCAAACAGCCGCTTTGCATGTGCTTCAGTGAACTTGTCTCCGACCTACAAACAATAATGTACGTAAAAAGTGGTAATGACAAACGAGACGAGATTTCAGATGTGTCATGTTATATAGCCTACTACACACCTTCGGGACCAAACAAATGTCTAGGGGTGTCCCCTGCATGGGGGTTGGCAGTAGAGTTGAGATATATTTTTTCTCATGGTGTAATAAATATCACAATTAAGTATATAATATAATTTAGCAATACTTTAAACGATCAAATTGAGAAACTAGCACAGGTGCATCAAAGAACGATTACACGTTCCCATATACAGCGATGTCGACCACACAGAGCAGCGCCACCAGAACGTCGCGTATAAGTGGACGGTCACATTATACATACCTTGTCAAAGGCGATTTTAAGTTCTTCTTTGGATACAGTGTGCGCATCACTGATATTATTTTCTACCAGAACCTGCATAAACATGGACATTGCTTCAGTAATGATAGCGTGCTCACGACTTGCGTTCAATTTCTTGGCTCTCACCTCAGCCCTCTTCCTGTCAGAAAAACAATTAAAAGAACCACTATGTCTTATATAATAATTGTATAGGGCCTATATTACAACACTTTTTACTTTTTGTTTGATGATTATGTTTAATGATATTATAATATTTTGAAAAAAATGTACCCTACTGACCTCATTGAGATTTGAACGTAAGACCACAAATAGATGAAAAATAAGGAAACGCTATAATTCTCAAATATTATTAGTGTAGGCCTAATAGTGACACATCATACATCTGGTTTTTCCTTTTTTCCTCAAATGACGTCACCACCTTATAAATGAATAACTGATGGACGGATACCCAAACAACAAAATATAGACCTATATACATAGATGCATCATGTATGCATACATATATATATATATACATATATATATATATATATATACATTATACATAATTTAAACCATACTGCTTACTAACCTTAATGGCACCAGCATAAGCAATGCCTTTATTTCCACCGCCTTCAAACACAATATTCTCGAAAGGATATACATAGTCGCAGTATTCAATATTCATGATAGAACTGTTATCGCTAAACCAACTTGCGTCGGATTCTCCAGCGTCGGAGCGTAATGAACTCCGCGAGGCGTCCGAGAACTTATTCAGTAGCTTTACGTCCGAGCCTTGGTACTCATCGGGTACTACCTGACCCACGAAGAACATTCAAGTGGCCATATATAGATGTGTATAAGAGACAGATATATATGTGTGTGTGTGTGTGTGTGTGTGTGTGTGTGTGTGTGTGTGTGTATGGTAAAAGTATAATTATTACGGTATGCTACCTAGATAATTTTGTGTCGGGTCGTTCAGGTGGATCAGTGAGTCCTACGCGTTGGTTCAGCTTTGACACCATAAGCTCCGACTCGTCACTCGAATACTACAAGAAGAAATCGGGACAAGGGCATATATAAACGTTGTATAATAAAACAATAAAGTAGGACTACTATGTATATTGTATGATATATAATGAATAATAAATTATTTATATTATATATATGTCATTGTCATTAAATCATTATAATTATCCTTATCATATTACAATACTGTACATTATCATTTCATCATTATTAAATTAGTTGAACAATACTGAAATCAGGAGATAGGCATTAAGTATTACAGTGTGGTCTAGGATATAACCATGGAGGTATCCTCCATGATATAACCAACGTGGTGCAGCTTGGGCAAGCAAATTTGTTAACCAAGAAACAGTTTGTGTTTATTATGTTGAAAATTGTGATGGCAAATATAGGTGGTCTTGTATCAAACTAAATGGAAAATTATTGCAGGTTATTAATGGACAACACAATTTATATTGAAATGGATACTGTAGCTTTAAATCTAATAGGGCCTTCGGAAGAGTGTCAATAATTTGGAAGGGAGCTAGGAAGGGACCGAAAGCACCGAAAATAAAAAAGATACCATCCTTCTGATGGTGTTCACTATCAAATTTAATACTGTATAGTTTGAAATTATTTTAATCTTAACACATTTGAGTATGAAACACAAGTTAAGGAAATGACTGGTAAATAAAAGAAAAAGTGGGTTTCATAAATCGGTTTCATAAATCTCTTTCATAACTGAAACTAATTCTAAATTGAAATATGACTTTAGAAAACAATGAAATAATAACAAATACATACAAGCACAATGCTCATATCACAAGTACGGTATTTTTCTGTACAACTGTCAACAAAATACCTTAAAAAATATGTGTCTTGGTTACACAGATATAGACCTACTTTCTGATATAGTATCAACTGCAGCGAGGTACGGTAATATTTACGGGGGAGGGGAATGGAGGTGCAGCCCCTCCAAGCTTTGGCTTCCAGTCGTCCTCCTAGCTACCCTACTGGAAATTCGCTGGGCAAAATAAAATAGCGCAAGTATAGTTAACAATTCTCTCATAACACTTAGTTTTCCAGTTAGTTCCCCCTTACTTAATTATTGAGCTCCCCCACTTGATCCCCATGTAAATATTCCTAGATAAACCAACAACTTCCAATGAAAAACATGAAATATTATCATTATTCGGGGTTGCAATATTTAAACAGCAAGTGTACAGTTCGTATATTAAATAGTAGAGGCCTATTATTCATTGTTCATGCTTAATCTAACCCAGGCACTCACTGCGCCCGTCCCGGCGGTCATCGGCCGACGCGATTCTGTGTAGAACGCAATACCACGACGCAGGTGGAATCGTGTGTAATACCAACATTGCGAACCTCTGACGATGGAGTAACAATAGAGTTGCTAATTCTGACTGTATAAAGATGTGTATAAGAGACAGGATTTAGGGGGCCCTGGCCCCCATTTTGAGAGGTAAAAAAAAAAGAAAGAAAAAGAAAAAAACGATAGCCCAGAACACCTCAAATGTTATTTTTGAGCGTCTAAAACACATAAATTTCGCGGGACATGCCCCCGGACCTCCTATTTCAGTGTTGTCTCGATCGGCCCTACTTTCGGCCCCCCTTTTGGACATCTCTGGATCCGCCCCTGAGACTGCCACTGAAATTAGTAGACGGGTCGCATCGTCTATGCTCACGGGGAGCAGAGTTAGATTCGTCGTACGACGCAGTGTGAGTGCCCAGCTTCATGTAACAATATGCTTAAAGGAATTACGACAACAGCCACGTTTTTGTACGAATTTCTTTATTCGTTTAAGCATATAGAAATTAGTAGACGGCGTCGCATCGTCTATGCTCACGGGGAACAGAGTTAGATTCGTCGTACGACGCAGTGACTGCCCAGCTTCATGTAACAATATGCTTAAACGAATTACGACAACAGCCACGTTTTTGTACGAATTTCTTTATTTCGTCTGGTTAAAATACACAATGCATAATAATGTGGCTTTGTAATTACCAAAAGTAACCCGATAGTCTTGTTTGTCGGCGTCCCAAAACGTTCTTTTTTATCCCACAGTCGACTAATATCTTCTAGTGGTTGTAATCGACGAAGAAAGCTATCGTTTTCATTTAGAGATAACCACCAGCCTGGATGAAAAAAAAAAACAAAAAAACACGAACATAATTATTATTTCCATATTACAGATATGAATTCGTATATCATTTGCGGAGTTATATCGTCAATAATGTTGTATATATTTCCTATAGTATAGTTATATTAAAATCAATAATCATTCTCGCAATCATGGTAATGGTAATGGCTGTATATTTACCGTATTAAACGCATATTACAATAGTTTTTATGCGCTTGAAATGCAAAGTCTTGGAAGCAGAAAAAAACCCCGAGAAATATCCTAAGACTAACAAAAGCAAACAACCACAGAGACAAAGAACAGACAGCAGAAGGAACCAGTGTCTCTGCTCTGTTCTCCAGCACTTTAAGGTCAATGAAGGGCTCGCTGGAACATGATTCACAGGAGCTCTGTGACACTGGCATCTGACTGTCTTATCCAAAAAGAAAGGGCAGGAAAGGAAAACAGATTAAAAAGAGCAAAACAGGGGGGTCTTAAGCCTCTTCTTAAACACGGAAATAGATGGAGGCTCGCGAACAGTGTCAGGTAATGCGTTCCAAAGCTTCGGGGCCACGACTCTAAATGAATGCTTGCCAAAAGATTTTAAACGGCAGTGTGGACAGTAGAGTATAGATGAGCTGGTTGTGGATCTCAGAGTGCGTGAACATGTAGCCGAACGTAATTGAACAAGATCAGACATATACTTAGGTGTGGAAAGATGGGGAGATTTATAAACAAAAAGTAAAATCTTGAACGCGATGCGCTGTTTGATGGGTAGCCAGTGGAGAAGACTAAGTGTAGGAGTGATGTGTTGGGATCTAGGTGTACCACAAACAAGACGAGCAGCGACATTAAGCTAGAGTTGTAGTTTCCTAGTTACAAAATTAGGTAAAGAACTCCATTTAGACGAGTTTTGATGCGACAAGTGCATGGATCACTTTTGCGGTGGCATCTTTATTTAAGTAACGCCAGACATGTTTGATGCTGCGATTTGATAAGAAACCGTTCCGCATATATTAAGGACACGTTTCTTCAATGACAAGGTGGAATCGTGTGTAATACCAACATTGCGAACCTCTGACGATGGAGTAACAATAGAGTTGCTAATTCTGACTGTATAATGGGCAAGTTGGCACGAAATTTAGGCTTGATGTATACAACTTTTGTCTTGTTGATGTTGTAACAAAGCATGTTCAAAGACAGCCATGATTGGACATCATTTGCACATGCCTCCGATTCGTTTAACAGCATTTCCAGCAAGCTCGGATGGAAACGTGACGTACAGTTGTGTATCATCAGCTTAGATGTGATAATTAATTGAATGTTGTCTGATGATATTACCGAGAGGTTCGATGTAGATGAGGAACAGTATTGGACCTAGTAGATCTCTGAGGAACTCCACAATTAACAGCAACTGCATTAGAGACGACAGACTTAACTCGCACCATTTGATGTCTAGAAGTTAAGTAAGAGCGAAAACAGGCAAGAACTGTTCCAGATATACCTATTTCTGAAAGGCGATTAAGAAGTATGACATGATCGATGGTGTCGAACGCGGCTGATAAATCGAGATATACAGATAAGGCACAGCAGCCTTTGTCTCCTGTAAGATGTCGTTATGTACTTTTAGAATAGCTGACTCAGTGCTGTGCTTTCCTGTAAGCTGACTGATATGGATCAAACAATTGGTTATCGTCAAGAAATTTAACCAGTAATGATGCAACAACTCTTACTATGAACTTAGACACAAATGAGATATTTGTGATAGGTCTGTAGTCAGACAACAAATTTGAATCAAAAGAGGGTTTTTTTTCAAGATAGGGGTAATAATTCCTAATTTCAAATCATCGGGAACAGTTCATGACAAAAAATAAGAGTTAGTAAGTGTCCGATATAGTGGAACAAAGTGCGAAATGTTAACAAGAATCTTATGGGAAATGGATCTAGATCACAAGACTTGGGAGTCAAAGATCTGATAACTTTCTCCACTTCGAGATTAGTAACAATTTCAAACTGCTCAAATCCGTCAGCTATTGTCAGGATTAATACGGGGTGTTAGAGAGCGGGATAAATCTACGTCAGTGTTAGATTGGCAACAGGCTTCACAGAGTAGGATGTTATGACGAAGCTGCTTGATTTTATTGATAAAGGCATTGAAGTCAATAGCAAGCTGAATATTACTGGTATGAGATGGAAACACTTTAAATTTGCCTCTTCCAAGGAGCTTATTGGCAACCCTGTATAGGAGTTTCTGGTTAGTACCACATTCTTCAAACTTAGCAGACGAGATCGACGTTAAACTTCGACTTCTGCCACTTCCGTTCAAATTGAGGTTTCTTCTGCTTTGCATGCCTACATTCATATTGTCGAACCATTCCATATTAAATACAGTAATCTGATGACCATTAATCATCATAATATTTTAAGAATTGTATAGCGCCCGTATCCATTTCCAATATTTACTCGAGAAGCTTTGAAAGAAAAAGGAAAAAAATCAGCAGACGATATATACATTTAAAAATATGAAAAGAAATCCCTAACAAATACTAAAAAATATGATTCGCATCAGCATCATATTCATTAATCATAATATTCATCAATCATTATCTCCATCAACAGATTATCAATATCCTCGCCACCATCAAATTAGCCCAGCATTATTTTTCTTATCACCAGTACTATTATACAATAGAACCCCTATTAAGGGGACACCTTCGGGACCAAAAAAGTGTCCCCTTAATAGGGATGTCCCCTGAATAGGGGTACCCTTATTTAGGGGACACTAACCAAAAACTTAAAATTGTCCCCTTAATAGGGGTGTTTGACATGTTTTCATAATAACGATGACATACATTCTTTATAATTATATTTTTATTGACATATAATAGTTTACAATAGAACTTTGTAGGAATAATTTGCAATGCAAATACAATTCATTTATAATATGGAATCAGCAGAAATGTCATTAAAATGTGTTCCCAATTCATGATGCAATATTACTGACCAAATATTCTTTATTATTTTTTTTTAAATATTGAGCTTTCTATTGGATGAATGTAGCATGAATAGAGTAACGGCTTTGAATTAAGGGTGCAAGTTATGGTATGGATTAGAATGCTATATGAAAGTACACGAAAACGAAGAAAAAGAAATCCTTATGGTTAAGGGTCAAAATTGATAAGATTGGCACGAAGTAGGAACACATGCAGTAGGCCTATACCGATATTAACTCTAAGGATTCAGGGGAGAATATTCTGGTCTATTGCTTAAAATGTGTCAAAATACAAAATTAAATGAATTTGTCTCATTTTGAAACTGCTGTAATTGTTGTGATACAATGAAAAAAATAAAGTGTCCCCTTAATAGGGGTAATTTGACAATTTGGCACACTCAGAAAGTGTCCCCGTACCCTTAATAGGGGTGACCTTAATAAGGGTTGGCCGTAGTCTTAAAAGATATATTGCTCCTCGTTTCACGGAAAAGTGTCCCCTTAATAGGGTCCCCTGAATAGGGGTGTCCCAAAGGAGGAGTTCTACTGTATTGTTATCCAATCAATCATTTTTAGTTATATTGTTGTATTTTTGTTAAGTAATAATTATTTATGTAATGTAATTAGGCCATAGCATTATTGATTTACATTACCGTCAAAACAGTGTATAGGATAGTTGCAAAGTAGTCCACCATCTACATATATATCTGTGGTTCCATAGTTGAAGTATTTCACGCAGCCAAACAAACCTATGAAAAATATATTTAATCCACATTATATAGTTACATTGTTATACAATAATGAATGTTTATGAGTGCAATGGGAAGAATATTTTCATATGTTAAAATATTGCCTTGTTGAATGGAACACTCAATCTTTCAAATATTTTTCCAATTGCACGAATACAAAACATATAAATTATTCGTATTATAATACATATAAAATAGATCCTTGTCATTTGATATTTTATAAGAAATTAATTTAGGCCCACTTTTCTTCCAGTCAGTACAAGTTTTAACTCAAAACAACTACCTTTCTTAAGAATGGAACAGTCCATCTTCTTTCAAGTGACAACATTGCAATGGGACGAAACGCATGGAACAAAAAACGCACGGATGGAACTAAATTTTCATGATGAGTATACGAAATGGTGAAAAAAACAGTGTCACGTGATACGAAATCCAGCAATCAAATGAAAAGAATATATTTAGATGTGTTATGAAAAGGATATACCAATAACAGATAGATTTTTTTTTTTATAGCACATTAAGAGATTTCTAAATACACAATATATTATTTATATAGGCCTATATGATCTACTGTGATGCCTCAAATTACCGCCCATCTGGTATTATATTAATATGGCAATTGCTCAGGCTTATCCTCATAGTGTTGAATGAGTCTAAACTTTTTTGTTCTTGTTTTCGATTATCGAATTTTATAAAAACAAACCAAGAAAAATAAAAGCTTAAACTTAATTAAAACCTTGATCATATCGCTAATGTGATGTATTATAGGCTATATAAGTTGCAATAGCGCATAAACAAAGTCTTGATGCACTTTTTTTCCAAGAAAAATGTTATTGGTTAGAAAGGAAATTACGTTACAATTCTATAATTAAAACAATATATAAACAGGAAATACGTAAGATAGTTCTAAGAACTCCAATACGTTATTGTTTAGATTTGTCATCGTTAAAGGTCTAAACCGAGATTGCAATTGTGCATAATAAAACCACTAATGGTAACGCCAACGAGTTTCATTTAGAATTGAAGAGGTTCATAAAGACTAGAACGGCGGACAAGATCGTAGCTATTTTACAACTTCCTGTAGATCCCACCTATTAATTTCTACTCGCATTTTCATCAGACGTAGGCCTATGTTCTATTCTACTACACAAAATACTACTTAGTTATCGCCAAAAGAGTTTTAAACATCACACTGGAATATAGAACTATACTTATACTATATTGCTTATGTAAGGATAATGAAAAACTGAATTAAAATGATGGCTACCACGATGGTGACTACATATACTTTTCATACAGCAGACATGACGACCGTAGACCCATATTCTACATTTCATGCAGAGGAAATATTGACGACAGTAGATCTAGACCTACGATTTATGGAAGGTGATAGGCCTACTGAGGACAATTCGCTAGGCATGATTCAGTTTATCATTATAGGCGTATCAGTGTTTGTAGGCCTAATCATTTTCGTATTCTTGTTGTTTTGTTTAATTTGCAAGAAAAAGACTTGTTGCAGGACCAAGCACCCTTCTGACAAGAACTATCGTGTTAGATATGATTCAACGATACGAACAGAACGAAGGTCAAAAAAAGATTCGCGTACAACTAGCTTCAGAGCCTCTGTTTATGGATTTATAAGTGGAAACAAGAACAGGCATCTTGGACTAGAAAAAAACATGGCAAGCATTCGCTTTATTGATGAGAAACAGAGACAAGGTGTTCAAACGTTTTTCGCTCCAGAAAACAGTGATGTGATGACCGAAACGAAGAACGATGACGAATCCCTTGATGAAGACATTGATTTTTCTGACAATGAACCAAAAGTTATCAACGGAATGTTTCTCAAACCCAGGTGTCGAGATTATGTTACTATGAACCCGGCACATGGTAGTCCTGCAAATGACACACCATGGGACGACGAACCGCATTATCAAGTACCTCGGCCTCTTCGTAATAGGCCTCCTAAACCATGCGATCCTACGGCAGGTGTTGCACTGTCGGCTGAGCATACCCTTAAAGGTAATTACGACACCTATAACGATATGGAGGGTGAACAGCCTGGTGGGGCAAATTCAAGTAACATTGAAGAAACTGAAGAGATTCGTAACGAATACCACGGCCTCGTTTTAGTAACGGGATTGTAAATAACGATACCGTATACCGTAATAACACTGGCATACAATACTGCATACATAGTGCATACAATTTTTAACGATTGTATCGAGAGCTTCCAATGCAAAAAACACATTTATTTGGATTTTGATATAAATTAATATCGCCAAATGGGCGCTATGCAAATTTCATTTCATGTCATTTATCAATTCAACCAGGGAGTTGGTACACACTTATGACCAAAAAACACGTTTGAACATGACGCTGGTCCATCATAAGAATAATGAAAATGATTAACTTTTGCATTTAAATCATGGCTAGTAAAGGACACAGAATTGTCGTAAATGTGTGCTATCACAGAGCCTTCACTACCCAACCGTTGATGGATTATAATAGGCATTGAGCAAACGCTACCGAATGTCAAGAAAAGACGCTGGGCTGGTTTATGATGGCTGTATGTATGTTCTACCTTTGTGTCATCACGTATCGTGATGATTGGAAGTAGAATATACCTCCAGGGTCGGACCACAGGGAGGTATGGACGATGAAAACTGTTTTACTAAAAGTAACTAAAACTAAAACCCAGATGTCTATGGAGAAATACGAATCGAATATGAGGGTGTACAGCCCGGTGAGACAAAGAGTGAAAAGAAAAGTACCGGTGCAATTTGGTGAGAAATGGCCCTGCGACTTTTTGCATTCATGGATTTCAACTGTCCTGATAGTGGGGTTATCCGCCACGCCCGCTTTCAGCATCCATTAGTTGCTGTTCCGCGCAATCTCACTATTTACCAAATTTGTGAATACTGTACTATAAATCACATTCATCATCAAATCGTTAAACCACTTTTTATTTAAATTGATTATACTATTATCTCATTGGTAAATTATTAGTAACAATTATGTTTTGATGTGATTGGTTAAAACAGTAAAGCTTATTATATTTAGAGGCCAATTTAATTAATATTAAGTAAGTCTCATGGACAAACGCTTCGTATCAATAGACTTGTGTGTTTTTTAGGCTTACTAGAATGAATAAAGTAGAATGTTTATATTATTTATATGGGCGTTTGCCATTTTACTGTGAGCATACAAATTCGATTGACTGTAAGAAGAGGACGAATCTTCATAATCAAACAAGCATATCGAGATATTTATTTTGACAGTTTTTACTCACAGGGGATATAGACGATAATTATTAGATAAATAATATTAATAATAATAATAATAATAATAATAATAATAATAATGATAATTTTAATGATAATGATGATGATGATGATAATAATAATAATGATAATAATAATAATGATAATGATAATGATAATAATAATAATAATAATAATGATAATAATAATAATGATAATGATAATAATAATAATAATAATAATAATAACAATAACAATAACAACAACAACAATAATAATAATAATAATAATAATAATAATAATAATAATAATAATAATAATATTAATAATAATGAATAGTGTAAAATAGCAACCTACCAGGTATTGCCATTGACATTCTAACAGCGATTCTGATAGGAAGATTAGGAGTTGTTTTCACGTGACAATATTCCGCATCCATTTGATTGATATTGGTGACGACAATGCATAGCTCCTTCTTGTACTTGGTGTAAAGCTTAGGAAGTAAAACAACAATTATCATTCAAGAGCAACTAATACAACACTTATAGGCCTACATATTTATTGAATACTGCGTTAGTTTCGTGGATTGTGAATAAAGTTTACAGTACCTCCAAGAACGTAATGTCTCTGTTCTGTGTCATTTGGTAAAGTTGATCCCCGAACCAATTGAATAATCTTTTACCCGGATGCCATCCATAATAACGCCTAAGATTCGGTAGTAAACTAAAAACACCACAGCGAGCATCTATAGAAAAACATATGATTTAAGAAACATTACATATTTTTTGCGTCTCAGATTTTGCTAAGAAATTGTGCTTGGTGGATGTAGGCCAATCTCAGACATTGGAACAGGGACGGATCCAGAATTTTTCCAAACTATAATAAAATATATTAAAAATAATAATCTATATTTCAATTTTTAAATTAGGATACATCATACATCTGGTTTTTCCTTTTTTCCTCAAATGACGTCACCACCTTATAAATGAATAACTGATGGACAGATACCCAAACAACAAAATATAGACCTATATACATAGATGCATCATGTATGCATACATATATATATATATACATATATATATATATATATATACATTATACATAATTTAAACCATACTGCTTACTAACCTTAATGGCACCAGCATAAGCAATGCCTTTATTTCCACCGCCTTCAAACACAATATTCTCGAAAGGATATACATAGTCGCAGTATTCAATATTCATGATAGAACTGTTATCGCTAAACCAACTTGCGTCGGATTCTCCAGCGTCGGAGCGTAATGAACTCCGCGAGGCGTCCGAGAACTTATTCAGTAGCTTTACGTCCGAGCCTTGGTACTCATCGGGTACTACCTGACCCACGAAGAACATTGGGTCGTTGAAATCTTCATCACTGAATTTAGCTTTCATTCTTTTCTTCCTTACTGCATCCGGACTCACTGCTTTAGAGTTTTTGCAACCCATTGCTGCAAATTTCACTGTATTGATGAACACAATGCAAAACAATGTTTTGTTATTTACCTTAATGTATCAATAAAAACATAAAAGTATGTCACAAATACAAACAAAATAAAGAAATAATACAAAGACGCATAATATGTCAAAACGTCCGACTCATTGTGCATTAAATGGAAACGCCCAGTAATATACTGAAAAATACATTACACGAACAAAAAACACGATTACTGAGTGGTAAAATCATGCGAAATACCAAAAAATGTTAAAACATTTAAATTCTAATGAAGAAATCATAAAGGAGGCATTATAGACTTAGATTGAAACATAGCTGATTCACTTTTTACTAGGCAAATACCAATGTCCCAAACATCGCCCCGTACCAGATACCAAGAATTGACATTTTAGGGCCCTGGCCCGGGATTTATCAATCTCAGCTTAGCAAATGTCTTAAGTCAAAAAGTTAAGATGTCCCTAAGCAAATATCTTAAGCTGATTTATCAAACCATTTGAGCAAAATTTTTGCTTAAAAATCGTCTCGATGGCTGATGCGTACAATCGACTTTTTAATAATTTATAAGATACCGCAAGCAATATTGATAAATTTGACTTAAGCAAAATAAATAAATAAATACATGGATTTAGGATGAATTTAAGCTGATTTCTAGTTTGATAAATCCCGCCCCTAAGATAGGTTTATTTTAAAGTGTTTTTTTTTTTTTTGTTTTTGTTTTTTTGTTTTAAATTATAGAGGCCTACTTTTAAATTTTACTATGCCTACACTAGCGGTCATGACCCAAAATGTTTGTGTGGACGTAAAAATGCAACAAGATTTCTGCAAGTACACATTACCGTCATGTAGAACTAGCGAAATGTATACTTTTTATAAGCACATCATTCCTAATGATGACATAATTAATGTCGAAATATTGAATCCCGACACGATGACGTGCATTTCGATACTTGGAGTATGTATTATACTATCTTATCTGAGATTAATCAGTGGACCTTTCGGTTTTATAAGCACCGTCTGTTAATACACCAAATTTGTATTACCCCTGTGAAGTAAAGAATGCTATCAACGAATCACAATGGACAGAAAAATATACAAAGGTGGAACTTGGTGGCACAAAAGTCGGGGTGATTCTAACACTGTATGACTTGAAAAGAAGGCTATTAACGAAACACAATGATCAGGACACAGGGCCGTCGGAACCGCACCGGCCGCACCTGCTTTGGCCGGACCACTTTTTCTCAATCCTATCACAGGTCACCCTCTCCATACCACAAATTAAAAACTCCTTTTTGGGACCAGGGTTTTAGTGGCCTTTAGCAGCTTTGGTCTCTACTTTGAATCCCTATAATTAAACACCGGCTTTAAAAGTAGTCTTTAACTATCTCTATTTAAAGGGGAATTAAGAAATGATATAGCCAATAAATGTAAGATAGTTAGAATGGATGTAGGGCCTACAGTTACTGTAAGCTGTTATTATTATTATTAATGCTAAAACTATTCCCCGGTAGTCAAGTCCTGTGCTCGTTCTACCTAACCATTATTAACAGCACCGTCCATTCAATATAGAGCACTGATAGACAAAACATCATCTTAAGTATATCATCATCATTAAATATTTATTTTAAATGCTTATGCATTACGGTTGAATTTTTTCTTCCAAGTGTTTTAGAATGGATTACTGCATGTCACAGTCGTAGTAGTCTTGCGCTCATTTAATTCGAAAAATACAATTTCATGTCTTACTAAAACTAATGGCATTCAATACGGAGCACTGTACACAAAACGTCGGCTATTGATGTATATTTTGATGTCTGTAGTGCGTAAAAAACTAAAACCAATTTTATACATTTTAAAGTAGTAGAAATTTTCAGTTTGGTCTTCCAAAACCATAGTGGTCTAGTGGTGTCTAATAGAATCCTTATAGTTAAGAATTAAAAGGCACTCAACTGGGGTCCCAATTTGGAAGAAGCCACATCCGGGAGATTTGTTTAAATGATGATGGTGATAACTATTAATGATATTGGTCCTAACTGCTGCGCAGACAATTGATATTTCAGTATAAAAACTTGTTAAAGCATGCAAATATCATCATGAATTTGCGGGAGATGGTTTATTTCGGGAGATTCATGCTCTTGCACGTCGGCCAGAATGCAGGAGTTCTTCCTGCCAGTTTCCAGGAGACTCCATTCCGACACTCTACGGGATACTTGAAACTTTTGGGTACTAAATGTGGTCTTCAGATTTCTCTATTTAGATGGAAATTAAAAAAATAATACATTAAATGTTTTTAAATGGTTGTACAGTAACTGCATGCCCTTATTTATTCTTAACATTTCTTGGTAGCCAGACGTCAACCTGTCTTTCCATTAAAATATTACTAACATTGCCACTAACATTATCGTCATTCAATATACAAAACGCTATACACAAAACAGTTCCTTTGCTAATATACCTACGTGTAAGTTATATATAACACAATTATTGTAGAACAAAAATGCATTAAGATCACTGTTTATTTAGTGGTGGAGCTACCAAAACCATTGTCTCTAATTTGACGAAATATCGGAGGCGCAGGAATATTTTCGTTAATTGGAGGCTGTCTTTAATTGGAGGGATCTTTTATTGGAGGGAAAACTGTACTTATTGTAATGAATATAGGCAACATTACTATATTATGTGGATTTATTAATAATGTTTGTATCACA